AGGAGGAGGAGGAGGAGGAGGAGGGTGAAGGTAAATTCGAGGACGACGAGCAAGGAAGGCTGGAGAAATCAGGAGAAGTCAGGGAAGGAAGCGGTGGAGGGGGTCGAGGAAGGTCTGAGGTTTGAGTGAAGGCAAAGAGGGTCTGTAGATTCCTGTATTCGTGTAACTGTACATAGATAGACATGTTATTTTATATATCGCGGTGCGTAAATGTTGCATGAATTTTTGAAAGCCCTAATAATAATAATATGTCTTGTAAAGTGCATTGAACATGTAACCTGTGGAAATGTGATATATATATATAAATATAAAATCCATGTACTAGTACTATAGGCCCTAAGCTATTTATTTTTATTAATGCTACACTCTACTTTTTAGCACCAAAATCAACTATAAAGTTATTTTTACTCCCCCCCCCCTCATTTCCTCAAAGTATTCCATTCAAGGATTAAAAATATTCAGGTTTGGGAATCATTATCACTTACATAATTATAGAAATAGTAAGTTACAGTGAAACCAGGCTATCTGAAGGACTATTTTCAAAAATAAAAAAATAAAAAACCATCCGTGCTGTCTATATATGAACTAATAACATACTTGCAATCTGCACAATAATCTTCAGAATATAACGCTAGCGCTAGCTTTAAAAAAAATTGTAAATATTAATTCATAAGCATGTTTTACCGGTACCTGTTTCTAAAGCACACCATTTTCAGTTACGTTGCTATTATTTCACTTCACAGAAAACGAAGTAAGACAACCATCCCTCCCACTGCCAAGGACAACGGCTACTGGCAGAAAAGACGCAAGAACAACGACTCGGCGAGGAAATCCAGAGAATCCAAGAAAGAAAGAGAAAAGAAGTTTTATAAAAGGGCACTGGAGCTTGAATACGAAAACATTTATCTCCACGAATGTCTCCGATCAGCTGAAGCTGAACTCGCTGCCCTTGGTCATTCTTTTGTTCCACCCACTCTCGGGGCTCAGACTCACCTGTAAACAACAATATAAATTCACATTAATCTATTAATTTCGAAAATTAAATGTACCTTTTAAAAGAAAAGAAGGAAAGGGGAGGGGGGTGTTTAAAAGAGAACACGATTATCCTTCTACATTAGCGTATAGTGAACAAAAAAAGGCGGTGGGGTACGTGGAGAGAGAGAGAGAGAGAGAGAGAGAGAGAGAGAGAGAGAGAGAGAGAGAGAGAGAGAGAAGAG